TAATTACTAAAAATATAAAGAAAATAAAGACAAACCGTGGCTTGAGGACTAGTATAACCAGTAGTTGATGGATTAAGAGTTTGTTCGTGAACACGTTTTTGTATTGGTTAGGTTTAATACCCAATTTGGTCCCTAAACTTTATTTTTAGAACTTAGGTCGTCCTTTAACTTCAGAAAGCACTTGAATCGTCCTTAAATTTTATTTTTCTGGGACTCAAATGGTCCTTCTGTCACGGAATTGCATATCTGTAACGGTTAGATCTCCACCAATTACCTCTTTTAATTTTCACAAGCTTACGTGGACAATACATCTCACCCATTGATGACATGGCAATATCTAGCCCTCTAAATAAAATAAAACAAAAATACAGGTACCATGTAATTTGTCTACTGCTTCCACTTCACTCCCAATCACACCCTCAAGCGACTCATCCTCTCCTGGCAGAACACTCAATCTTCCTCATCTTTTCCTCCGCCTCTGCCATTCTCTGCCAAGCACGATGAGCTGGTCTCCCTCCTCAACACAGTCGAATCCTCTCCGTTTAAGTTCACCGCCTTGAAAAAGCTCCGATCCATTGTCGAAATTAGGGACGAGACTAAATCAGATTTCATTCGATTCAATGGCGTTGAAATTCTTGCTTGAATAATCGTTCAGATTCTAATCGACATTCTTGATTTTGTCGCGTTCCAAGCGTACGAAGAGGCGCTCGGCGTTCTGCGTAAGCTTTCGTTGTCGGAGGATCAAAACAGTACATTCAAAATTTTGTCAAAAACAGAGTGTGAAATCAATGGCAATTATCCTTCAAAGAGGAAGCGCCGAAGCGAGGCTCCATGCGTTAACGATTTTCAAGAAAATGGCAAAGACTACTTCCTGTTACAATTGGAATTTCTTGCTTCAAGATTAAGGCATAGATTCTTCAAATCTCTGTTAGAGTTGGTTTCTGACGAGATTTGCAGCAAGGCGAGTTCATGTGCACTGGAGTTTCTAATCGAGATCTTAGAAACGTCAAAGAAGAGCCGATTCAAGGCGAAAGAGTCCGACGCTGTCTGCGTCCTAATCGACCTCTTACTTGACTTAAATAGATCCAAAAGCGAAAAAACTCTTCTGATCAAGTTACTCTGCGATTTTATTTAGAAGGCTGGATATTGCCATGTCATCAAATTGGGTGAGGTGTATTATCCATGTAAGCTTGTGAAAATTAAAAGAGGTAATTGGTGGAGACTTAATCGTGCTAGGTATGCAGTTCTGTGACAGAAGGATCATTTGGGTTCTGGAAAAATAAAATTTAAGGATGATTTGAGTGCTTTCTGTAGTTAAAGGAAAACTTAAGTTTCAAAAGGAAAGTTTAGGGATCAAATTGGGTATTAAACCTATCGGTTATAAGTACTTTTTTCTTGTAATTTATTGGAAGGAAATGTTATCTTTTTTTAGTATTTAAAGTATTTACAAGCAAATTAGAAAAGAAAACTATAAGATATAACTTTTTAAAAACTTACTAAAAACACTTTAAATAATAAGGTTTTATTTAGATAATTGTGATTTCCAGGTTTTTTACTTTGAGTTTTATAAATTTTGTAACACTAACAAAAAACTCATTTATTTTTATATATTTTTGTAATATATTATAATGATTATTAGAGAAATAAAAAAATAAATTTAATATTATTAAACAAGTTTACATTTTTTGTTATTAGTATTAAAACTTAACTTAAATAAATGGTTAGATTTTAACCTTTAGTTTTAGTTTTTAATAATTACAACATTTATAAAAACTAAAACTAAAAATTAAAAACTACAACCATACTACATGTAGCTTAAATTGCAAACATTTCCTATAACAAATTTTTAAGTTTAGGAGAAAAATGTTCATAGAAAAAAAAAGGGAAAATTTTGCCAAAGCAAACTTTAAAATCCTATTAAAATAAGGAAAACTATCTATCTATATTACCTTTTAAAAATTTATATCAAAATTGCCTCAAAACTACTACGATGAATTTTTATTAAAAAAGTTAAAATATTTTATTTTTAAAATATGAATTAAATAATTTTTAAGTTTCTCTTCTTATATTTTATTAAAAAATATAATTTTAATTTTTTTTTTTAATTTTTAGAAGATAAATAAGATGAGTACTAATTTCTTAAAATAATAAACCATGGAAATGAGATTTGGAAATGTTATATAGGAGTATGCTAGCTCCTTCTACAGGTAATACAAGATTTCAATCTAAAACTAAATGTAATAATAATAAGTAATTTATATTATATTTGAATTACATTTTTTTCTTTTATTTTTAATGTGAGAATCTTATTTAAAACACCCTTATATTTAAGATTATGATTTAAGAATATATATACGGCTTCTCTCTATAAGGAATATATTTCTTAATACTTATTTTTAGAATTTATAGTTAACCCAAAAAAAGAAAAAGAAAACTGATTCCTCTCTAAACCAAACATACATTTGGATTGAGAAATTAAATCAAAACTCTAGGAAAACTTTCATACTTGTGACAATAAAGAAAAATGCGAGAAGGAGAGAGTTGAAGTTTGTTGAAATGCTCTGTTTCTTGGTGTTCCACTTTGGATGTTAAATTAATTACTAAGTAATTTCAACACTAATAATCGCTGGGGCTTTACCCTTTTCCTTTCTTCTAATGCTTATGAAATTTCACGAAACCACATAGAAGTTTCATTCGATTATTTTAATGACATTTTGACCCCCACATGAATGCAAATGGGACCATTCAGATAAGATAACGAAACAACATGGAATTTTCATTCGATTATTTTAGTGAAATTTTGATCTCCATAGGAATGCAAATGGGACCATTCAGA